GTTTCTGTTTGTATAAAGCGAGAGAAAATTGTATATACACATGCAAATACATATATATTCGTCCTATACACTTATAATTATACAATAAAAATATTCCCCTGCCCAGTTTTATGTTTGTATAATGTATAATTTATGTTTGTATAAAGCGAAAGAGAGAGCGATTTTTTATATACACATATTTTTGTCAACGATTTATACAAACAAGAGGCTAACAACAATTTATACAAATGGCCTGCCAGCGAAATTATACAAATCTGAAGAGGAGCCAACGAATTATACAATTGTTTCTTTTTGTATATATGTATAACGAAATAGACAGCTTTCAATTGTATATGTATAGCAAATTATACATATATATATTTGCTATGGAGCGCAATTATGCAAACTTTGCTATAGCATACAAATATAATCCTTTTAATGGGCCAACACCTCCAAGTTGTTGAAACTTCCTCTATAAGAATATACTCAAAATTCTGAGAGCCATGATGATGTCATTTGTAGATTTTCAAAGCATAACCACAAATGAAAGGAAAAGATTTCCATAGAGAAGGATAAGTGGGACCCACTTAACACAAATCTTCTACCAGCCTTACACTTTCTAAAGACCCCCCACTCCTACCCCCAAGAAAACTACCAATGAGCCTCAAAAAACAAATCTTTGGAATAAATATAACACAATGAACTTCTAACTGAGGAAATTTTAGTGATTTCAAGAATTCCAAGAAAATCACAATGGCAGCATCAGCAGCCACAGCAACAGCAACAACTTCATATTTATGTGCTCTAGACAAAAAGACTCCATTTTTATTTGCTTTAGACAAAAAGACTCCATTTTTATGCCCAAAAAACAGCACAAAGAGAAGGTCATTTAATGGAGGAGTTAAGTGCATGGCAATAGAGACAACTTCAGGTTATACAGCAACCAAGAAAAGGAGTGGGTATGAGCTGCAAACTTTAACAAGTTGGCTATTAAGACAAGAACAAGCTGGAGTGATTGATGCTGAACTTACCATAGTTATTTCAAGTATTTCAATGGCTTGTAAACAGATTGCTTCCTTAGTCCAAAGAGCTGGAATTTCTAACCTTACTGGAGTTCAAGGTGCTGTCAATATTCAAGGAGAAGATCAGAAGAAACTTGATGTTGTCTCTAATGAGGTTTGTTTGTTACAATTCTTCTTATAATAGCTCAATAGAAACATTAGTACTCTGTCCCTTATCATGTGAAGTTATTTAGATGAGTTTAACTTCTATATACTAACGATCCGAGCACTTAAATATAACTATTGGTGTATAAGAAGTGGACTTAGTAATCCGAAAATATACTCATATGGGTCGTTTGGTAGAATGTAATAAGAATAGTACTGAATAAGGTGTATTAGTTATGCTTTCATTATTTCTTATCGACTGTTTGGTTTGGTGTATTAAGGGTAGTTTTGTCTAGAGCCATGCTTATCCATGTATTAATAGCTCTTGTATTGCTAATATCGTGGTTTACTATATATTAGTTATACACCCTATAATACTGAATAGGTTAATCATACATAAGTTGAAAATCCTACCAAACAAAGGATTAAGTGATACTACAGATAATACATGTGTTATTTTCTCTAATACAACCTATCAAATGACCCCATAGTGTACGAATTGTGTTCACTGTCAGTGTATATAAGTTACCTCCTATTGGATTTAAGTTATATACGTTGATGGTGTGAAGAATTTTTACACTACCGGTTATGGAAGGTCCTTATTCATTTCTTTTTTTAAGGTTACCATATCAGGCTTACTGCGAAGAGTTAGTTTAACCTGCTTGTGTAAAATATCTATGGATTGTCAATGTGCATAACGTAGATATTCGTAGAACATTAATACACTAATGATCTTGGTTTCTGAAGGTTGATGTTTGATGGATTGAACAGGTTTTCTCGAATTGTCTAAGATCAAGTGGAAGGACTGGGATTATAGCATCAGAAGAAGAGGATGTACCTGTGGCAGTGGAAGAGAGTTACTCAGGCAACTACATTGTGGTGTTTGATCCTCTTGATGGATCATCAAACATTGATGCTGCTGTGTCTACAGGTTCTATCTTTGGAATATACAGCCCGAATGATGAGTGCCTCGCTGATCATGGAGATGATTCCACGGTAATTACCAAACAAGATTACCTTCCTTTTTGCCTCAGAAATAGAACTCTAAATAGCTAATGTAGTGTTCTGACTTGTGACAATGTGGCATCTTTGATACATAATGCACGAGAAGTAGGATCATTTACTTCAATGCTTCTTATATCTGTTTGATGCTTTCAATAGTCAATTGGACCTCTGGTGCATGAACTTTTCCGGTGTGGTTGTGAGCTTTGGCATAAGCCAAAATCATTCATTATACATAAATAGTTTAACCACCGATTCAACAAATGTCTGTCCAATATTGCAGCTTGACAATATAGAGCAGAAGTGCATTGTGAATGTATGTCAACCAGGGACAAACCTTCTTGCAGCAGGATACTGCATGTACTCAAGCTCTGTGATATTCGTACTCACCTTGGGAAATGGCGTTTTTTCCTTTAACTTGGATCCGATGTACGGAGAATTTGTTCTGACTCAAGAAAATGTCCAAATACCAAAGTCTGGAAAGATCTATTCATTCAATGAAGGAAACTACCAGCTCTGGGATGACAAGTTGAAGAAATATATCGATGACTTGAAGGACCCTGGCCCTAGTGGCAAGCCTTACTCTGCAAGGTACATTGGTAGTTTGGTTGGTGACTTCCATAGAACTCTTCTATATGGTGGCATTTATGGTTATCCTAGAGACCAAAAGAGCAAGAATGGAAAGTTGAGGCTTTTGT